CGCCTGGGCCAGCACAGACCCAAGGGGCCAGGAAACCCAGTTCACTGGTCCTGAGGTCAGTCTGGGACAAACTGCACCTTCTCCAGCCTGAAGATCTGCCAGGATAAATATTTCAGGGTACCGGTACCCAGCACCCCAGTTCCTTGGAGGCTGTCAGTCTGCGGCCAGTGACGGTTGGAATCTGGGCCCCGCTCCTTTACATAATGCCACAAGGGTGACTAAGGGACAGCACCGGCATTTGCACCCAGCGTCCCTGTCGCAATGGCTGTGGAAGCCCTGCAGCCCCCGCTGGCGCTGGGCAGGGGAGGACCTACCCCTGCCAAACCTTCCTCCAAGGGACATCTGCTGCCCGTCCCTCTGGACACAGCATCTGCCGATCCCTCCACTGTGGCAATGCTCGGGGTGCTGAGGACCAGCACCCCTACCCTTCCTGACCAAAGTGTGCGTGGCCACCAACAGCTCTTCCCAGCTGGCGTCCCAAGCACAGTCTCCCCACAGCTGCGGGGCCCTGGCTTGCGCTCCTATCTTCTTACAGGCAGGGAAACTGAGGCACGGGGCTGGAGAAGGGCAGGCCCGAGGCTGCGTAAGGTTTGCATCAGTCATGAGGACAAACACAGGCTCATTAATTTGGGTTTGGAAATCACGGGCATGTGATCTTTCTCAGCTGGCAGCTGCACGTACAAACTCAAATTAAACAGCCCTCCCCTGACCCCTAGCGTTCCGCCAGGCTCCAGGCGACTCTAAATGGAAACCCCGGCTCCCCGGGGCGAGATGTTGCTGATGGACGATGGACGTCGCATTGATGCCTGACAGCAAACCACCCTAGAGGAGGCAGCACAGACGCGTCTGGTGCCACCTCCCCAGTGACCGTGGGGACTCAGGGGAATGTGAGGGGGCCCCTGGGTGCTGGAAGTCCCTAAGGATGGGAGAAAAGGTGGCCCTCGTGTTGGGAAACCTCCATAGGCAGGAGGGTGCTGCGGGACAAGCCCAGGAGCAGCCTCACCCCAAGGCTAAGCTCTGTACCACAACCTCACTTGGTGTCTTTGGGAACGAGACCCACCCGTCCCCAACCCAGCACCAGGGAAGCACAGCCCCGTGTGGGGAGCACCCGGAGATATTTGCCTGGAAAATGCTTGCAAGAAGGACACACTGGGAGTGCCCTGGGCTGCCTGCCCCCTTCCCCAGCATCCCACCATCCTGCTGGAGAGCCGGGGGCCGGGATGGGACATGGTGGTGTCATGCTGGGGAGGAGAACATGCTGCCACCCCAGTGGCAGTGCCCATGGGAGAATGCCAGGAGGGGACAGCAGGCACGAGCTGGGAGGTGGGGAGAGCAGCAAGGCGCAGGTGGAGCATGCAGGGACAAGGGAGAGCAGACTCAGGAGACAGAGAGAAGGAGGAGGAGAGGAGGCAGGGATAATAAATAGAAAGTTGTCTATACCTCAGCACCTCCGAGACAGAGGAATCGCTGTCATCAGACCTAGGGGCAGAAAATTAGCAGGATTATGGGAGAGAAAACCCAGACTAGAAGAGGCAGCAGAGGAGTCAGAGATGGAGGAATTGTTATTGCATCCAAGCCAGTGTAGGACAGAGAGGAGGAGGAGGGGAGAGAGGGAGGAAGAGAAGCACACATGGAGAACCAGGAGAGAGGGCAGAGGAGCAGGAGAGCATGTGAGGATCAGACACAGCAAGTCTCCATCAGGGAACGTCGGCGCTGCTAGCAAAGCTCCGAGGGCAGCTGCCCGACCTGCTGCAGGGGAGGCTGGAAGGCTGGAGCAGCATCTGTGGGTTGGTGCCGGTCCTTCGGCTTCCTGGGAGCCCCCATGCCGCCTCACCCCATCCTGCTCCATAGCCTTGTCCAGTGGTCCAAGTCTGGCACCACTGTGTCTCCAAGCAGGGCTTAGCCAGAGGCCAGGCCTGCGAGCTCCAGCAAGCCAGGACAGGGCAAGGGTCCAGCATGGCCCTTGCAGAGCATCTGCTCCCTCATGGAGAGGAGCAGCGAGTGAAAATGGCAGCAGGAGGCTGGCTGGGGCCAACCCAGGTCTTGTGCTCCTACACCCGGCCGTGGGACCTGGTACGTGCTGTTTGCTGTTACGGCATGGGTCCGCATCCCTCAGACCCTCCCGCCCCACCAGGACTTACTTATCCAAGGCAGACCCCTGGCTCTGGTTGCTCGTGAGACGAGAGAAGACATTGCGGTCGTTGCGTGGACGGGTGGGTGGGGATGAGGGAGGTGTGAAGCCAACATCTGGAGGCCTGAGCCAGGAAGGATGAGAGGGACACGTGACTGGGGACCCGCTCACCTGGCAGCTGCCAGGCACACCGGAGCCCGGCAAGAGTTGGCCCAGCCAGCATCCCTCCCCACTTGTATGGGCCACCCAGCCTCTCCCTGCCCATGTCGCCATTTCTCCGGCTCCCAGGCTCACCTGGCAGGTTGCCCACGGTCATAGGATTTCCTCCTTGTCAGAGGTGAAGTGTCTGAGCCACGAGATTGCCTAGGACTAAAGCAAGTGAAACAGCACAGTGGGTGCCTGCCCCCCTGCTGGAATCCCTCTGTGCTGGACACCCACGTCCCTCCCCAGCAGAGCAAATGGAGAATTTGGGCTGCCCTAGAGTCACAACCCCAAGATCAGAGGATGCCTCAAGTCATCCCATGAACACAGGGGTTTTTGGCAACCCAAGAAGCCTCCAAGAAGGCTGATAACCCAGGGCAGTAAGGTGGGGACCCTCGAACACCCCCGCTTCTTTCCCTCCTCCTGGAGTACCCTTCTCTTCATCTGCAGAGGACACCAACACACTCCTAGCCACTCTCCAGGTGCCACTGGAGAAATCCACCGCTGCTTGATGCAGAACTGGGCTCACTCTCACTGCTCTGCAACTGCACATTCAGGGTACAGCTTCCCACCCCCCTGAGCCTCCCTGTGCCCATCACCCCATGCTCACAAGGTGCTTCCTCGCGTGGGCAGGCTGATGGTGCGCGACACCTTCTCCTTGTAATAGGGGTCTCGGATGGAGAAGCTGATCCCATCCTCTTTGATCTCCATGAGGGATGCCAAGGACTTGGTGATGTTCTTGGTGGAGACGTCCAGCGTGGGTCCTAGACACTCAGCCGACACTGCCTTCATCTGCCCTGAGAGCTTGGGCTCTCCCTAGAGCAGGGCAGAGGGCTCAGGCAGAGGCAGCATAGGGGGGGACACACAACAGAAACAGCCAGGGAGCTGTGGGGTGGCCCAGCTCGTGCTCTCTGGCCTCAGGAGGCTGAGCTCCCCCCCCACGGCGCAGCAGGCCCATTGCAGTGCCAGCTCTCCACACGTGAAGCAAACGTGACGGCCTGTGCAGAACAACGGGCGCTGTCCTCCACCTCTACCCCAACGGATGCAGCACTGCACAGGGACCTCCCTGGTACCCACTCACATCCGGAGGGTGGTGGCTAACCCAGTGGATGTTTCCCAAGTCTCCAGTGCTTCAGGGGACCACAGGACCAGGAGGCCCGACTTCCCCCTTGCCTACAGCTGACCCCACCCAGAGACCAAAGCCATGCTGCTTTATGCCAAGCCTGGCTCTTCAAGGCTCAGACTGCAGAGCAGAGGCCTGGAGCATCGCTGAACAACATGCCCCTCCATCCCTCCTCCCACTCCCTGTGACGGGGCCACACAGCGAGACCAGCTAACCTTGAACTTGAAGTCATCCTGGCTTGCTGAGCCCTTCATGGTGAAAGACTGGGAGATGCTGCAAGGAGGAGGGAGAAGAGATGGATCTTTAGTGCCAAACTCCTTTCAGAGAGTGGCTTCCACCAGCCTACCAGACTCCTTGGGTCACCCCCTGCTCCCCAGCACCCTTTCTCCAAGGGATGACCCACTCTTCTCTCCCTGCTGGGGTCTGAGACATCTTCTGCTCCTCTCCTCAAAGGCTGGGCACCACGGGAAAGCTTAGGTGGGGCTTTGTTCATCCATGTCCATCTGTGAGGTCCCATGGGTGGCACCAGACCCCCTATCACAGCCCTGGCATCCCCAGCCACCACCAGCTCAGACGTGGCCAGGCTGGGCACTCACCTCCCATCTGAAGCCAGGCTGAACTCCGAGACCTCCTCGTCTGTGCTGGTGTAGCCGTTCTCTGTGCAGGAGAGAGATGGCCCATCAGTGGCGCAGAGGGGACCACGTCGTGCGAGTCCCGACTGAGCCGCGTGTCGGAGGGGACAGCCCGGGCAGCTGGGGCTGGGGACCTGCTCCTTCTCCCTGTTGTGTGGTGGCTGGAGCACGCGTTCCCACCCAGCATCGCCCTTGGGGCAGCCCTGGGCACGCTGGTCCCAGCCGTGGGCCCTCCAGGTGTTTCCTGGGGGGCCGGCACAGGCAGGCACCTCGCCCCACGGGCAGCACACCTGCCCCGAGGACGCGCCAGCCCTGCGCCCACCTTGCTGGACGTTGTGGATCAGGGCCTGCAGCTCAGGGTGCGACTCAGCCTTCTCCCGCAGGGCGTCCAGGATGGCGTGGTTCTGCGAGGAGCCGGTCACATCTGTCTGCCGCAGGCGCCCCTCCAGCAGGCGGATCTGGGCCTCCTTCTGCGCCACCTGCAGCCCCTGGGGAAGGACAGCCACGCTGGCCTCAGGCGGGCATCTCAGGTCCCCACCCTGGCGCCCTGCTCCCCTCCCCAGCTGCAGGACACCCCGTCACGTAACCAGGTCCCGGCTTGGCCCCGCACCTTGTCGATGGAGGCCTTCAGGAAGTTGTCCAGCAGGAGCCGGGCTTCGGCCAGGGAGCAGGAGCTGATCACCACCGAGGTGTCCGTGGAGTCCAGCTCCTCCTGAAAGCAGAGGGACGGGTGTCAGATGCAGCAGGGGAGCTTCGCTGCTGGGCGTGGGACAGGCGGCAGCCAGCACAGCACCTCCACCCCGCGCCAGCACTGCCCAGTCCTGACACTCGCTCTCCTCAGCCTGCCCGTGTGGCTGCTGGGGAGATCCGGCCACGGAGATGGCCAACGCAACCTGAAAAGCTTCTCTGTTGCTACAGGAATCCTGGTGCCAACACTTAATTAGCCCCTAATCTGCAGACACCAGCCTCACCCGAGTCCACAGCAGACCAGGTCACCAGCCCAAGGCTAGCGTGAATTAACAACAGCCCCTTCTTCCCCGGCAACCTAGGTGACAGCCTAGGGACAAGCCAGGGACAGCACACAGCCGCCACCCCAGGCTGCTGCCAGCAGAGGGGAACCAGGAACAACACAGCGTCTCTGTGCCGTGCCCATTGTCAAAACCAGACACAAAGCCCACAGGGTTTCTGCTGGAAAAAAAGCCAGTCCTCCCCAGGATGTTCCCAGCACAGGAAAATCCCATGGGCACAAGTGACGGCCAGCCCCATGGGCAGGACGGGGGCTGCAGCTTCCCTACATCCCAGGGGCCTAGGGCACCGGCAGCCTGTCCATGGACGTGCAAGGACCTGGCAGCACTCCCCTCCACAATTAACCGCCTCATGAGAAGTGACTGCGTGGGTGCAGCCCCACCAAGAGTGCGACATGGCTCAGAGGACCCCGGGACGCCCGGCTTGGCCGTGCCCAGGGACATCCTCGCCTCCTGGGGATGCTCCGGCTCTCCCCACCAGCTGCACACCTTAGTCTCCTCGATCTGCATGATGGTGGCTTGGCAGTCAGAAATGCTGTCGTTGATGTAGTCGATGTTGGCCCCCAGCACCTCGATCTCCTCGTTCAGCTCCTGCAGCCCCTTCTGCTCCTTGGGGCTCTCTGCCTGCAGTTTTGCTCTCTTACCCAGCAATGCTTCCTGCAGCAGCGCCAGCTCCTCGCGTTTCTGGGGGAAAAGGGAGGGGGAATGGCACTATCGGCACGGCTGTCCCCCTGCCCCACACCCACCACCAAGCCCCCTCTGTCCCCAGTGCCACCATCACCTTGATGAGCCGCTCCATGTCAGCCTCCAGGTTGACGATGGTCATCCTCTGCATGACAATGTCAAAGATGCGCCGCTCCAGTGACTGCCACTTGAGGCGGGCGGCTTTGCTGAAGGTCTGGCTCGCCCCCTTCTTGGGGAACTTCTTCCTACAGCCAGAGGGGAGAAGAGGCACATGGGTGACCGGTCTGGAAAGCTGTGCTTACCCCAAAACGATGCCTGGGCTCTAACTGGCCAGGAGTAGAAGAGGCAGCTGCATCGTTTTTGGATTGCCCGACTTTGCCATCGCCCCTTAGCAAGGAGAGGGACAAGAGCTGAGCCCAGCAGGGTTTGTGCCGTGGCATTTAACGCTCATGGGAGGCCAGCACCGGGCTCAAGCCCAGGTGACCATCAGTCACACGCTGCCAGCACAGCCCGTCACCGGGTCAGTGGTTTAGCGTGGGTCAAATGCGCAATAAGAAGTTGGTGTTCAACCTCCAGCACAAGCCAGAAGCCAGACAGGGGAGTCCTGGGATGCCTCATCACCCGTCCAGGCAGCCCCTGCCCTGACCTGGCGGGCCGAGCCCCGTTCACGGAGGAGGGGGAGTCTCCCAGGAAGTTGTTGATTTTCCTGTTCCACTGGCGCACGATGCTGGAGACTGAGCGAGCACCAGACTCAGGCTCAGAGGAGGTGGTGCTGGCCGAGACCTCCGCGCCCGAGTCCAGCATGGCCGGCTTCTGGCTTGTCCTGCCTGCGACCCGGTCGGACATGGGCTTGGCGAGACGGCGCAGCGCCGAGACCTGCCCAGAGGAGGGGCAGAGGAGAGGGTGTCAGACAGGCGTCCCCAGCCCAACCCCATCACCATCACCCCCAGGTCTCCACAGGACCGAGAGCAGCAGCTCTGGAGACCCGAAGCCCCAGGGCCATTTGTGCTCCATGGGTTTCCCCCTTCTCCCTCGTAGCCCATTCCCTGCTGCTGGGCTCAGCTGCCCCGGGAGATGGGCAATTCCTCTGCTGCTTGTGACCATCTCCCACCTTGTTACCGAGCCACAAAAATCCTCCCAGCCTTTTGGGAAACCCAGTCCCAGAGCTGGCACTGTCAGGAGGACAGGCTGCCTCTGAGCCAAGCGCTGGGGCCAGGACCCCCATGGGGGCTGGGGGCTACGTGGAGGCAACTCCCCTGCCCCTCACCTCCTGGGTTTTTCTCCGCAGCACTATCTCCTGCTGCCGCTTCTGAGACTCCAGAGCCCGGATCTGAAACTGCACAAGAGAGAGAGATGCCTGGGCTCCTGCCCAGCCACCCCAGCGACGGCCCCAGTCCTGGGGCTCCCAGTCCTGGGGCTCCCACTACCAAAGCCTGGAGCAGTTACTTTGGCATGAGCAGTCTCACTTCTGATTTTAACAGCGAGCAGGTTTCCAGCCCTGAAGCTGGCCCTGATGGCACATTGCCCCCCCAAGTATGCCGGGGAGTTGGCAGCATCACCCACAGCCATGCTGGGAGCTGCGGGAGGCCCTGGGGAGCCATCCAGCCAGGCATGTTCGGCTGGGGCTGCACAGCCCCTGGCAAGGCCATGGGTGCAGCAGGGCTCCGAGCTTCCCCCACTGATATTTATGACACCTTGGAGTGTCAGAGCAGGACAAACATCCCCCCCAGCCAGCCCCGTTCTGCCCCCGCGCGGGGCGCCCAGAGGCACGTGGGCAGGCTGGGTGCCCACCTCCTGCCGACGCTGCTCCTTCTTGAGCTGCGCGATCTCCCGATTCCTCTTCGTCTCTGCCAGCCGCCTCCGTTGCTGCTCCTCCCGCATCTGCTTCATCAGCGCAACCTGGAACGGGAAGGTACCGCGTGTTGGCAGGGGCACCCGACTGTCCCAGGGCACCCACCCACCAGACAGACAGACAGACATCCTGCACTGGCCACCGGGAGTGGAAAACATCGCTTCTGAGCAGGGAGTCAGACTGGACCAGGGCTGCCCTCCCTGCCCGGCCATGTCCAGGTACCTTTGCCTTCTTCATCTCGGCCACCTCTGCCTGCAGCTTCCTCAGCTCCCGCTCGTAGCGGGACTGGTTCTTGAGCAAGCGAGCGTGCTCCTTCTGGGCTGCCTGGAGCTTCTGCAGGTCCCGGTTCATCTCCTTCAGCCGCTTCTCGTAGTCTGCTTTGATCTTGTTGGCTTTCTCCTCCGTGTAGCACTCCATGGTGCCTGGGGGAGCGAGGAGAGGGCATGCGATGGCCACGCACCCGGGGCTCCTCCTGCACCTACACACCCTGCCCAGAGGCACCAGTGCTGCTCCCTCCCTCCTCGCTCTGCTCTGGCCCCATCGCAGGCTGGGGTCTCACTGGGGGCACTGGCTGGAGGGGATGGGTTAGGGCTCAGCACGGGGTGGGGACAGCGGGTTACAGCAGAGCTGCTGGGCTAAGAGGAGCCATGTGCGTAGGTGATCCCACCCTGCTGAGCCTAGAGATCAGCTACGCCACTACGTCTTTGGGGTCTTCATGTGCCCCTCAGCACCCCAGTTTCCCCAAACGTTCCCACATCTCATGAAGCGGTGTTCAAGGCTAGAGGAGGCTTTGCCTCGCCAACCTTTCCAGCCACCTCTCCAGCACCACTGGGGTCAGGAGCTCCTCAGCTGACGAGTCCTGCTCCCACGGCAAGACAAGCAGGGTCCTTGGGGTCCCAGGGGCTCAAGCAGATGCAGGGGGATGGCAAAGCTCTACCAGAGCCAGCACTGGTGCGGGGGGGATGCTTTGGCTCCGAGTCTGGGCAGGAGCGGGGACTGGGGCCCAACCCTGCAGGGATGGGATCCCCCAGGCGAGGTGGTTCTTACTGAGATTCTGCAGGACGCGGTCCCGCTCCAGCTGTGTGTCCCGAATCTTGTTCTGCAGCAGGATCAGCTTCTCCTCGTACTGGTGCTTGAGGGTCTGCAGGCGCCGCTGGCTGTTCTCCAGCTCATCAATCAGCTTCTGCTTGATCTCTATCTCGCAAGTCAAATCCGCCAGGTCGGCCTGGAAATTCACGGCTGGAGGCCGGTGAGAGACAGTCAGGCTGGGAGGGATGGGGGAGCGTCGATCCCACGGCCCCACTGAGCCACAGCACAAGGAAAGGGCAGAGAGAGCCCATGGGAACCTGCATCGCTGGGGAGTGGCAGCACCCAAAGAACGCTGGAGAACCCCTGCAGCAACCCTGGGGCTTTTCCAAGCCCCCCAGAGGAGACGTGGCCAGGGCGCCCCAGCAGACCTTCCCTTCCCAGGACCAGAGCTCAGTGCCAGGAGACACAGGCAAACGCACCCCATGCCCCAGGCTGCATGCGTGGCTCTGCTCTTTACCCTTCTCCTCTGCATCCGAGTCTGAGTCCACCAGGCTCTCTTCACTGCCCGAGTCCTCATCTTCATCCTCACGTCCATCCTCCTCCTCACAGCCACTCTCGTCCTGTTCCTCCTCCTCCTAAGAGATGAGTGCCCAAGCTGAGCTGGAAGCAAGGCCTTGCCCTTCTCTCTGCAGCTCTTTCCTCCTCCAAACCTGAGCTCACCCCACGGCGTGGGCTGCAGCCCCCACGGCGGGACTCAGCCTCCCACACAGGATGCCCAGGGGCTGCAGCACCATTTCTGGACCCCCAGCGTACACTGCTGGGAAGAGCAGCTCTGAGCTCCTTCCATCCTTGCATCCATCCCCTCCCAGATGAGCAGCACTGCATCTCCCACCCCTCCTTCACCTATGCTTACTGAAACCAAGCCCAAAAAGACGTGGACTCCTTGCCCCCCAGCAGGGCTGGCGGGGGAGCATCCAGCTGCCCCCTGCTCCAGCATGGAGTCCTCAGCTCCACGACCCCTCCAGCCTGCTTGCAGGGCCAGGCTGGGCTTGGTCCCTCTCCCATGTGGGGCAATGACAACGCTCCACACCCGAACACCCACCTCGGTACGAGCACGGAGCCCGCTCACCTCTTCCACCTCGTTCTCGTCTGTCTCCTCCCCGTTGTCCTGCTGCAGTTTCTGCCGCTTCTTAAATGCTTCCTTCTCCGGGCTGGGAGAGAGCAGAGGGGTGCTGGTGAGTCCCAGCATGGGGGGGCCCGGGCACGAGTCCTGCCAGGCCCCCCCCTTGCCTCCAGGATCCTGTGGTGGGTGAAAAGGGGACCAAGGGCAAGGCAGCGCGGGGAGGGGAACCCAGGCGCCTGGGCTCTGGCTCAGTGCTCTGGCTTTAGCACGGATGGGGGAAGCACGGACAGACAGGGACCAACACGCAGCCTCCCCCTTCCCAACATCACGCGGCAGCTGCCTTCACCTTTTCCTCCGCTGCCTCCTCTCTTTCTTTTTCAGGCGCTCCAGGTCCTGCTTGGCCCGTCGGAGGACATCGGAGGCCTCCGTCTCCACCGGAGCAGCGGGGCTGCACAGCCCAGCCAAGCCAGATGCTGGGGATGAGCCCATGGAGTAGGGGGGCCGGGCAGCAACACGCGAGAGGCTGCGACGCAGAGACTCATTCATGGACTCGCTCTCCAGGAGTTTCGTCCTAGGGAGTGGAGACAGGACGTGATCAAAGAGGGGACATCCCACTGTCCCCAGAGTAGGGGCCCTTGCCTGGTTTTAGGATGGTGTAAGCCAGGGACAGAGTCACCACAAAGCCATTCCCATTCACGTTGGGTTAGAAGGTCAGCATGCTGCAAGAGAGGGTCCCAGGATTGCACAAGGGGTTGGGATGGACCCAGCTTTTGAGGGGCCAGCAGTCCCTGGGAGACACCAGCACGCCCACCATGATCTCCCCCTCCATCGATGACCACATAGAGGATGAAAATGGCCAAAGCACTTCCCAGCACCAAGGCTGGGACTCCCCCAGCCCCCGTGGTCTCAGCTGCTGCTCTCTCAGGGCTTACGACAAACCCCAGTGACGCTGGAGGATGGAGCTGGGAGCTGCTCAGTCCCCACCACAGTGCCCACTGTCCCGGGGACCCCGGTGACACCCCCTCCCGTGCCCAGCTCACCTCAGCTCTTCAATCTCCCGGATGTAGTTCTGGATGAGGGCACCAATGGCTTCGTTACCATCACCTGGAGGAGCAGAGGCATGGGTGGGTCAAGGCAAGACATGGGCTGTGCCACAGCACCCATCCCAGCTACGCTGGCTGGGCTGACCCACCACGCCATGCGCTAGCCCAGCCTCACCTGCCTTGGCCAGCATCAGATTGGCCTCCTGGCTCATGAGGTGGGTGACCCTGCTGTTGATAGCATCGATGGCCTCCTGCATGGCCTTCACCCGCATGCGCAGGGTGCTGTTCTCCTTCTGCAGCATGGCGTTCTCGCGGAAGAGGTCGCTGTAGCCCTCCGAGCCGTCCTCCCCAATGATGCGCTTGCCCTGCGGGGACACAAGGAGAGCCCCTGAATGCAGGGCATGCTGGGCCACGGGGGCCTGACCGCTGCATCCCTCTGGGCAGCCCCAGCCACCAAAGCAGGGGCAGGGACAAAACTAAGGACCAGGAAGGCCTGAGGACAACAGGCAGAGAATTAGAGATGCTTCAAGGCTTCTTCCTGCCTCAGCATCCCGAAGAGACTTGCCCAAGGTCCTGCCTGTGGCAGGGCAGGAGCTGAGCCCCCGTCTCTTAAGTCTCCTTGACCTCTCCTAGCAATTGCCCCTATCAACAGGGCAGAGCATGGTAGGCAGGAGGATCTTTCCTGCTAAAAATGCCCCAATTCACACAGGGGGAGGAGGCTTTCTGCTCCTGCCTCCACCCCACCTCGGCGGGCTCACTCGGCCACTCACCGCCTTGTACTCCATAAGCTCCATCTGCAGGCGGGCGATCTCGGCCCGCAGGGCACTGATCTGCTGACTGGTCTTGTCCTGGTTCACCACCACCTTGTTCTTGATGTTGCGAGCCCGGTTGGCATACTTGAGCGTGTTCAGGGTCTCCATGAAGTCCCGGTCAGATGGGCTCACGCAGGCAATCATGATGGTTTGGCTTGAGAAGGTGAAGGTCAGGGTGAAGGGACAGTTTCCCCCACCCTGTGCCAACTCAGCACCTGGAAACCTGGGACCCAGGACAGGCCACGTGCCCCCGGGCTCTCATCCTGGGCCCTTCTGTGTTTTATAACCAAGGTATAAACTGGGTCCAGTCCCTCCCAGAGCCAGAGCACCAGCGAGACCTCGCGAGCAGCACATCCCAGCACTGAGCAAAGCCAACCTCCCCCAGCCAGCCCCTGCACGCCGGGGGTCTGCAGAAGAACGGGCTCTTTGGAGAACGACCCCCAGAGCAGGCAGGGAATTCGATCCATCCCATGCTGGGCAACACGACCTGCTGAGTCCCAGATCTGCAAGGGCTCCAAAGTGTTTTGCACCAGCTAATTCTGCCAAAGCCGGCTAATTGTGCCCAGGACTCATGCGGAACCAAGGTCTTTACATCTGCAAAGTCATGCACTGCCTGCCAGGAGGCATCCCCTGCCCAGCAGGCAACCCACAAGGCATCCGAGGCCCGAAATAGCTCCTACATGGCTCCACAGACCCTTGGCCCTGTGCATAGGGGTCAGCCACTGCCATCTCCTCCCAGGGCTCAGCCCCAGCCTGGCACCCCCTTACCTGTTGCCCCCGAGGGAATCCTGCAGCAGGCGGGTGAGCTTGGAGTCGCGGTAGGGCACATGCACGACTTTCTTGCTCTGGTCTCCAAGGGCACTGATGACATTCCCCAAGGCCAGCTACCAACACAAAGGAAAGACCCCTCCAAATTCAGCTCCTGCTGAGAACAGAGCTGTCACGTAGCCAGCATGGCAGGCCTGGGGCGCGCACGGCGGGGGCGCCAGGGGTGGAGGCACGGGGCTTCCCTTGCCAGTCTCAGCATTTGGCCGCCATCCCTGGGCTGTGCCTCTCTCCCCACATGCACTGGGGAGCAGCACCGAGCCCTGGCCTTTTTTTAAGCTTAAGTTAGCAAACCTCAACCTTTTGGGGACCTGCACCCTCGTGCCCAGCTGTACCCCTCCCCAGTATCCTGCCCCCCCACAGCAGAGATGTTCCCTCACCGCTGGCATTTTGGATCATTCATATTCCTGCCTCCAGGGCCAGGTAGCACAAACCCCAGCAGAGACAGCAGCAACCCCAAGAGCCCAGAGCAGCTCCGAGCAGGACCCAAAGGTGTCCCAGGCTCCCCCAGGCAGGCCCTGCCTTCCCTCTCGCCGCGCACGCCGGTGCCCAGGGCCATACCAGCCCACAGTTGATGGAAATGCCTTCCTTCGCTCTCTCGCCAGTGGCACCCGTGCGCTTCAGCCTCTCTGAGCCAGCCAGGTCTACGAAGTGAAACTTGGCCGTGAGGGTCTCGTACTCGGTGGTGGGCTGGGCTCCATCCAGGAGGCTGGGCACCTCCCCGTTCACCTGCGGCTGGGCACACATGGAGAGGGTCACCACCATGGACCCGGAGCAGGCAGGAGCTCCCTTGGCCACACTCAGACATCAGCAAAAGCCTGAGCATTCACCCTCCGCATCCAGTCCCTCAGGGATGGGGGAAGAGGATCCCAAGAGCAGCTTGCTCTGGGCCATCCCTTGGGCCAGACCACCCCTGCCTTGGATGGGGCTACTCCAGGGCAGACCTCAGCTCACATTAAACGCCAACGCTGGCTATGACTGGGAAGAAGCAAGAAAAAGCCCTGCCTCTCTCCGCAAGCCTTCAAACCCTCTGCCCTTCCCAAGGGCCCCCAGACATTGCCTGGGCACCAGACCCAGGCAGGGCCCAGCCAGGAGGCAGGCGCGCGTCTCACCAGCTCCGGGCGGGTGCACACTCTCATCTGGCACAGGTGAATGGTGAAGATGGCGTGGGACCGGGAGCTCTGCACATTCATCTGGGTGCTGGCAGTGGTGCGGGAAAGAGCCCCCTGCTTTAGGCACTGGATCAGCTGCAACGACACGGGGCAGGGAAGAAGGAAACCTTGAAGCGCCCTGCTGGGGAGTCAGGAGAGCGCCCTGCTGCAGCCCCGCGGGCACGCCGACCTCTCCCTGCACCACCCTGGGGCTGCCCTGTCCCCTCCCGGGTGAGATCCCCCCCTCCCCTGGCCATCCCCACGTCACACGTCCCTGGCCAGCGGGCACCCCGCTGCCATCCCTCCTCCACGCCTGCCCCACCCCACACCCACCTCGTCCTGCGAGCTGATGAGGCGCGACGTGACCCCTGTGGTATAAATGCTCCCGCTGGCATCCTCATGGATTTTGATGTTGGATTTGCGGTGGCGTGCGTCAGGGTCGCGGGCACTGTCAAACAGGTCCAGGATCTCCTCGTTGTAGAGCTGAGCGGGGTGGAAGCGGGTGCAGGGCAATCAGGAGGCTGCTGGAGCCTGGCACAGCGGGACCGGCGGGGGGGGCATCCCGCTGCTGCAGCCTGGAGAGCCCGGAGGACAGGCGGCACCGCTGGCGTGTGTGTGCATTCACACACGTGGGCACACGCGCGTGCTCAGGCGAGGCTGACCAGGAGAGCTGGTGGGCGTGCGGGGGTGGGAGAGGACGCAGAAGCACATGCGTGCAGAGAGGGGACGACGCACGGACAAGCTCTGCCCTGCACGGATGGGTACCCAGCTGGGACAGGATGCAAAGAAGGCGCGGGGGGGTGTGCACACACGCTCAGGTGGGCACGCTCAGGTGGGCACACACGGGCACGCTCAGGTCTGCCCCGCCGAGCTCTGAGCTGCAGCCTGGGTTGGTTCTGCTACCTGGCTCTCTCCTGACCCTGGCCCCCTCTGTGGGGAACCAGGACACTCCAAGAGCCCTGACCCCAGAGCCTGAGGGGACACCCGGGTGCTTCGCATCCCCCCGGCCTTCCCTGCCCACCCAGGGAGCCCCTGGCCCCAGGAGCCAGCCCAGCCCCTCTCCTACCGCAGCTCCGAGCGGAAAGGGGACAAGGGGGAGCAGACAGAGCTGGACAAGCAGGGAAAACCCTGAGGACCCAGAGCTCGGAGGACACCCCCACCCATATTGAGACCTCTCTCACCCAGGAGGTGAGGGACACTGCTGCCTGTCTGTCACCCTGCCACCACCACTCGATGCCACCCGTCACCCTCTCGCACCCACGTCCCCGAGCAGAGAGCAGGGTCACCCGAGGACTGCAGGCTCCTGGCCAGCAGAGCAGATCAGGCCAATCCGTCCCTGGCCGCCCCAGGTGCAAATGGGGTCCCCAGGCGTTTAAACCCTGCTCTGGCAGCGTGCTCCCAGCAGGAGTCACAGGACAGGGATCAGCCGGGCCAAACCCTGTACCGCCGCCGGGACAGCAGCGGCTGGTGCGGCCACGTGCCCACGCTGGCACTGGGGAGCCATTACCACCACAAACCCCTCCTTGGGTTGCCTGGGTAAGGGTGGCTGCAGGACAGGTCTCAGCACAAGGTTTGATGTCTATGCCTGAGGGGTGGACCAGTGGGCAAAGCCCTTGACAGGCTCCAATGGTCACCGGGCCATCGGGCAATGGGTTTTTACTCTCCCCACACATAACAGGGGCCCCCGGCCCTTGGGCTGCCGTGTCCCACTGGGCACAGCTGGCCTGGGGAGCAGAACCACGAGCAGCTTCGAGACACAGCAGAGGAAGCCGTGTCCCATCCTTCACTGCAGCCAACAGACAAACATATCCGAGGCTGTTTTGAGAGCCAAAACCACCAGGGGTCAGAGGTGGTGAAGAGAGAGAAAGGCTACAGGAACTCCCATGGCAGCTGGTGTGACCAGAGCCACTGCTCTGTCACCCCCCCGGTGCCCCTGGGGTTGTGCTGCACCTCTTGGTCTGCAGAGGCAGCAGAGGCGTCCCCTCCCCAGTGCTCACCCTTCACGTGTCCTAACCCCAGCTCAGACGTCACCCTGCGGCACTGTCAGGTCACCACACACTGAGTGGGGGAAACCGAGGCCAGGGAAGTTGGAGCTGGACAGCAGACGATCCCCCTGAGGGCAGATGTGGGGGACCGAGGGAAGGGGAAGGGTGAGGGGACACGCATTGGGCCAAAGGCCAGTACCCGAGCCTATGGCCAGGGAAGGAAGGACTGCGCCCCAGCCCCAACAGGGTTAGGGGACTCTCCAGGAGGGAAAAAGCCTGACAAGGTTCATGCCCCAAAAGGACATCAGAACAGGCAGGAAATTGCCCCCATTTCCATCCCAGCCCACAGGTTCCCCAGAGCGGAGCCCCACGAGGCCGAGGATGCACAGGAAGGCAGCCAGGAGCTTGGCCGGGCTGAGCGGTGGGGAGGGAAGGACGTGGCCGGACACAGCAGCACCACAGGAGCTAACAAGGGCCCTGCAGATGGAAAGCCAACTGGGAAGGGTTTCTCCAGCAAGCAGGTGAGCCCTCCAGGCTAGGAGGTGACTTTGGGCACTGCTTCCCCTCTCCAGGCCATTGACATCTGGAGGGACCCAGATGTGATGGCCACCAAAGCCACACAGAAGCACGATCACAGCACAGGGTCTCTGCCTCTGCCTGCCTGTCCCCTCCGGGCTGTACCCCAGACCGGGACACCAACCAGATGAAGTGTTCAGGAGCTCAGCTTTGCTCAACACCACCCTACGTTTTCTCACCAGGGCCTTAAACCAGTTCCCATCCTGAACTTCTTTGCACTTTCACCCCAGGACCAGCCCCCAGGGAAACGGCTGCAGACACACAGGGTCCACAGGCTTTCTGGGACAAACTTCTCCAGGGAAAGCAGCAGTGAACAGCAGAGGCTTTTGAAATGGAGAGGCCAAAGCAGAGGCGGGAGAGGATGCAATGAAGCATTCTCAAGGTCAAAGATGCAGCAAAGGACATGGGAAATGACACAGCCCTTCCTCAAATCCCCACAAGAATGGCACTTTTTCCTCTCCTTGTTTCACTGGCAATGCTGGTCCAAGCCCAGGGGAGCGGGGATGCCGCTGCCCTTGATCTCAACCAGGAGTAAGCAAGCCCAGAGCCCCCGAACCTCCAGGAGACCAAGGCATAAGCCCCTTCCCCATGGGGACGGCTCCCTGCAGCCCACAAAGAACCACCCCAGTTTGTGGCCATCACAAGGTCAACACCATTCGGGTGCTTTGAGTCCCCTCTGCCCTGGCACCCCCAGCCACATGCCCGCTGTGGGGTCCAGCTCAGCTGGGGAGCAGCCAGGACACGGAGGGCTCAAGGAGCCCAGGAGATGGGAGCTGAGCAAAGGACAGAGCAGGGCCACAGCGTCACCCAGACCTGCTGTCACCCACCTCCAGGAACTGGGCGCTGACTTTGAACTCGGGTGCTGCCATGCCCTGACTCTGCGCCGCCCGCTTGCGCTCCTCGATGCCGCTGAAGAGGTGGCCGATGGCCCGCGGGATGATGCCCTGCTCATCCTCCGAGATGTTCATGTCGAAGCCAGTGCCCATGGTGTAGGTCTTCCCCGCACCAGTCTGCAAAGAGGCAGCGAGGGTGGAGCTGGCCGGGCGCTCCCAGGCTCAGCTCTGCCTGCTGCGCCCCACACCGCCCCCTGCCACCCCAGGCTCCCCAACCTCACCCAGCCCAGGGACAGCTCTGCCCCCTCCGCACCCGGGAGGTTATACATCCCCACCTTCCCTAATCTCTGCAGGTGCCACCTCAGCTCCCCCAGCACCCAGCACTGCAGGAGAGCCCAATGCCCATGCCAGAGCCCAAGGAGCAGGCAGAGCACCTACCTGGCCATACGCCAGCACGGTGGCATTGTAGCCCTCGAAGCAGCCTTCGATGAGCTTGCCCACGCATGTCGTGTAGATCTGCTCCTGCCATGTGTCCAGGTCAAAGACAAAGTCGTAGGTGAAGGCCTTGTCCTTCCCCAGCAGCACCTGGGGCTCACCGGGCGTCACTGAGGTGCAGATGTGACACCCCTCTATCTTCTCCTTGGACAGCTGGGGCCGGATCCTGCAGGAAGAGAATCAGAACCATCTAGGTTGGCAAAGCCCTTTAAGCTCATCAAGCCCAACCGCTCCCCTACCCCTGCCATCCCACCCCCAAACCCTGGCCCTCAGCACCGCCTCTGCCCGGCTGTTAAATCCCCCCAGGGCTGGGGACTCGACCCCTTCCCTGGGCAGCCCCTTCCAGCCCCTGACAGCCCCAAGGGGAAGGAATTGTTCCCCATGCCCAACCTCACCCTGCCCTGGCACAACTTGAGGCCGGTGCCCCTCGTCCCATCGCCCCTTCCCTGGGAGCAGAGCCTGACCCCCCCGGCTCCCCCCTCCTCTCAGGCAGTTGTAGGGAGCGATGAGGGCTCCCCTCAGCCTCCTCTGCTCCAGGCTGAACCCCCCCAGCTCCCCCAGCCGCTCCCCAGCAGCCTGGGGCTCCAGACCCCTCCCCACATTTGTGGCTCTCCTCTGGATACGCTCCAGCAAGGCAATGTCTTTCCTGTAGTGAGGGGCCCAAAACTGAACCAGTATTCAAGGTGCGGCCTCCCCAGTGCCCAGGACAGGGGCACGGTCCCTGCCCTGCTCCTGCTGGCCACACCACTCCTGAT